CCAACCGCCTCCACCGCCCCTCCGCAGCCGAGCTGGCGACAAACGACGGCGGCATCAGACAGGTCCCAGCCATCATCGCAGACGGTCCCCCAGCTGCCCTGGTAGTAGATCTCCACTCTCCCAGCACAGCGCCCAGCGCCGTTCACCAGCCGGACCCGCAGGCTCCCTGCAGCAGGGAGAATCCCTGTTTGTTGTCAGGGACTGGTGCCCACCACCAGAGCCTGGGAGGGCTGATGCAGTGCCACTCACCCCAGCAAATGACTCCCACATCCTCCACAACCCCTGCCGCCAGTGCACTCTCGGGCAGGGAGGTGTTGCAGAGGGTCAGGTTGGCCTCGTGCCCTGCGCACCGGACCCCTCGCAGCCCCACGGGGCCCGTCCCTCGCTCAGGCTTTGGGGGGTTGTAGGCTCTGGCTGCCTCTCCACACCGCAGCTGCCGGCACACCACGCTGGCCTCCTGCACGTCCCACTGGTCATCCAGGACTCTGCCCCATGTCCCGTGCTGGAAGATCTCCACTCGCCCGTCGCACCGGCTCCCTCCACCCACCAGCCGCAGGGATGCAAAGCCGGCTGAGCCTGGGAAAGCAGAGATGCCACAGCCCATGGTGCCACCTGGGAGCATGGCACCCTTCAGGGAACAGGGCGAGGGGGATTTTCTGACCAAACAGGACAAGACTGAGCCTTGTGCTGACAAGAAGTGGGGGCAAAGCCTGGGTCCATTCTGCAGCTCACACCCAGGTCTGCTGCTGCTAAGGGTGGGATGAAGCTCTGCAGGGCTCTCTGGTGGGGATGGGATGCAGTTGTCTGCAGCCAGAGGGATGGAGCAGAACCCGTAGCCCTGTCCTGAGCTTGTCACACAGTAGGAGAACAGAGGAGCGGTGCCACCAGGGCATAAACTACTTTCCTGGGGGCAGATGCCTGCCTCTGTTCAGTCCTCAGCTCTCCCACAGCAGAGCAGTCAGTCTGAGCAGGCAAAGCCCTCCAGACGGCTCCTGGGGAAGCCAGGGTTCCTCCAGGGAGAAATTCACCTGGTTCTGCCACGGGACCCCTGCTTTGGGTGGCCATGTCATACAAACAAAGGGCAAATGGAGTTAATGCAGCATTTTTCTGGCACTCACCTGAGCAAATTACAGCAGCGTTGTTCCCGTGGGAGCAGGGTGAGACCCCCAGGGTGATCACCGGGCACTGTCCCAGGTGGGCTTCAGTCCCCTCACAGTGGAATGAGTCTCTCCAGACAGGGCCAGTCTCTCTCCCAGAATGCTCTCCTCCAGGAATGGACTCAGCAAACCCGCAGTTGAGTTGACGACAGAGAACGTGGGCATCCGACAGATCCCAGCGGGTGGAACAGAGGGTCCCCCAGGTCCCCAGCACCTGGACCTCCACCCTCCCCTCACATGCCGTGCTGCCATTCACCAGCCTGAACCCTGTGTACTCTGGGGACAGAGGAGGAGGAGAGAGGGAGGGTTGGTGCTCTTGCACCCTCAGTAGCTGGCAGAGAGGCCAAAGGGACAGCATGCCTTTCTTCTCCTTTTCCATAATTTTCATGCTGCAGGTGACCCATCACCCCCCCTGTCTGCATACCCATCCTTGCGCTGTTCCCCAACCCCTAGCACAGCCCCGGTGTTCAATACCCCACCCTGAATCCTCACGTGTGCAGGTGACAACAGCGCTGTTCATGTGGGGGCAGGGCTGGTTCCTGGAGGACCCTCTGGGGCAGGAGATGAGGAGGGATTCATTCCCCACACACTGCAGCTCTCCGTCCCACATGGGACCGACCCCTTCTCCAAAGTGAGCTGGGCCAGGGTCAGGCAGAGCCACGCCGCACTGCAACTCTGTGCAGACCACGTCAGCAGCTTTGGGACCAAAGCGTGAATCACAGACGGGTTTCCACTGGTCCTTGTCATGGATCTCTACACGGCCTGAGCAGTGGTTCTTCCCTCCCACCAGCCGGACAAATCCTGGAAAAAAGAAAATAACTGGGAGCCCTCTGGCAGCTCAATGCCCACATTCCACATCTCCTCCAAGCGAGCCATGACCAAATCACACATTGCACATCCCAGAGGATGCCGTTGGG